TCCCCAGGATCCCAGGTCTGAGCAGGCGTGGCTTCCTGGCCGCCACAGGGACCACACGATACCATCCACACGTGTTTTATGACCACACACGGGCATCGGTGTCTGAGACGGGCATCGGTGTCTGAGATGTCCCCTTCACCATCCTCACTTGTCTCCTCTCAGTACCGAGGCACCTGCTCTGCACAGCCTCTAGGGTGCCATTCCCGGCAGACCCCCTATGAATGCCCCCTGGAGTTGTTCAGTGTTCAACTTTGACAGCTGTACATGGTGGGCCTGGCAGTGAGAGGCCTGAGGTGTCTACGTCAATTATGGCAGTGAGGAAGAAGGAGGTTACTTCCTGCTGGAGGATCTGGGAAGGCTTCATGGAGGAGGAAATGCTTGGGTTTGGGCTTTAAGAAAAAGGGGGATGGGGTCTGCCTTGTGGCGCAGCAGGTTAAGCTATCGCCTGCAACCCAGCGTCCCGTATAAGCACTGGTTCGAGTCCTGGCTGCTCCACTTCCCATCCAGCTCCCTGCTGATGTGCCTGGGAGAGCAGGAGATGGTCCCCTGCCACCCATGTGGAGCTCCTGGCTCCTGGCTTTGACCTGGCCCAGCCCTGGCTGTTGCAGACATTTAGAGGGCGAACCAGCAGATGGAAGATCTCTCTCTGTCTCTGTCTCTCCCTCTCTCTGCGCTCTGCCTTTCAAATAAATAGGTTCATCTTTAAGAAGGGAAACTGGGGGCTAATGCAGGAGGGCGATGCAGGTGGAAGGCCCGGAGTGAGCCAGGTCCAAGCTCCTGTGAAGGGGGGAGTGGACACCAGCCACGTGGGAGGACCGCCTGGACGTCAGGTGCCCGGCTGCACGGGGAGGGGCTGAGCCCTATGGCAATGGGGACCCCTGCAGGTTCCTGCCTGTGCGAGGGATGGTCTGATGGGGTCAGCACCAGGCAGAGGGATGCAAGCAGGAGGATGTGGGTGGGGAGCCCCAGGTAGCCCCATGTAGTTTTCATCCTGCCCTGGAGAGCAGATGGACGGACTCTTCTCGACCCCAAACACCAGACTGGCCCTTGCCCCCAGCAGGAGCAGTGTAGCTCCGGGGGTGGGTAGGTGGGGGCACCAAGAGCCTCTGACCCGACTTCTCTGCCAAGCGGCTGTCACAGCTCTCACAAAGCATCATGGCCTGCGGCAGCCAGGGGCGCCGGCGGCGGGGGCGGGGGGGGGGGGCCTCCAGCGAGCTGCTGTGAGGGGAGGAGCCAGTCCCACAGACGCCCCGCCCCTCCCCCAGGCGGTGTCCAGCCCAGCAGGTCAGGGCAGTAATGACGCAGGAGTCAGGGGCCCCGGGGGACCAGGGCCTGGGGAGGGGGTCGGGACAGAGTGCACATGCCGACGTGTGTGGACGTGTGTGCGTGTGCATGTCCCACAGCTGGGCTCTGGGAAGGGAGCAGAACTGGGCTCCGTGGCTGGAAACCCAGATAGCAGGTTTAGGGAGGGCCCAGGGCAGGTACAAGGTGAGCTGACCTCCCCCTCCAGAAACTCACCCCCCCCCAATCTGTCCAAGCCCTTTCTAAATCATAGTTTCTCCCAATACATGCAACCCCTTATGGCTCCCCGGCATCCCCGACAGCCTCATCCAAACCCGCAATCCCTTAGGCGTCTTCATTCCTTATTGCTGCCTGAGAGCCTCTGTCTTGGGGAAGGTTTAGCCTCCGCCTGCAGCATCCCACATGAGCGCCGGTTCAAGTCCCAGCTGCTCCACTTCCAATCCAGCTCCCTGCTGATGCACCTGGGAAAGCAGTAGAAGATGGCCCAAGTGCTTGCACCCATGTGGGAGACCCAGAAGAAGCCCCTGACTCCTAGCTTTTGCCTGGCCCAGCCCTGGCTGTTGTGGCCACTTGGGGAGTAAACCAGCAAATGGAAGATCTCTCTCTCTCTCTCTCTGTATCTCTGCCTTTCAAATAAATCTTAAAAAAAAAAAAAAAGTTTATGTGCAACTGTTACTAAAAGACTCTTAAAAAAAGAGGGAGCTTCTGTCTTGTATTTTTTTTTTTAAGATTTATTTATTTGTTATGGACAGAGAGGGAGAAACAGAGAGAGAGAGAAAGAGAGAGAGAGAGCGCGCTCTTGCACTCTGGTTCATTCCCCAAATGGCCACAACAGCCAGCACTGAGCCAGGCCGAAGCCAGGAGCCTGGAGCTCCATCCAGGTTTCCCACGTGGGTGGCAGGGGCCCAAGTACTTGGGCCATTTCTGCTGCCTTCCCAGGCTCATTAGCAGGAAGTAGAGAAGGGGCTGGCGCTGTGGAGCAGCAGGTTAAAGCCCTGGCCTAAAGCGCTGGCATTCCATATGGGCGCCGGTTCGAGTCCCGGCTGCTCCTCTTCTGATCCAGCTCTCTGCTATGGCCTGGGATAGCAGTAGAAGATAGCCCAAGTCCTTGGGCCCCTGCACCCATGTGAGAGACCCAGAAGAAGCTCCTGGCTCCTGGCTTCGGATCGGCAGAGTTCCGTTGCGGCCATCTGAGGAGTGAATCAATGGATGGAAGACCTCTCTCTCTCTCTGTGTAACTCTGACTTTCAAATATATAAATAAATCTTAAAAAAATAAAAGAAAAAAAAAAAAAAGGAAGTAGAGCAGCCAGGACTCCAATCGGTGCCCAAATGAGATGCTGGTGTTTTGGGTAGCAGCTTTACCCGCTACACCACAGCACTGGGCCCAGGAGCCTCAGTCTAGATTTCGCTTGCAGCCCCAGGACCATGTCAGCTCCACCAGGGCAGGCATTCTTCTGATGTTTTCAAAACTGGCACATCAGCCTGAACCTCTGCTTGCTACTCCAGGATCCATCTCAGAGCCCAGTCCAAGTCCTGGCTGCTCAGCTTCCAATCCAGCTCCCTGCTAACGCACCTGGGTAAGCAGTGGAAGATGGCCCAAGGACACACTTTGGAGAGCTAGGCAGTTCCAGCATCCTGGCTTCGGCCTGGCTCAGCCCTAGCTGTTAGGCCATTTAGATGAAAGATCTCTCTGTCTCTCCCTTTGTCACTCTGCCTTGCAAGTAAATAAGGCAGTCTTTCAAAAATAAATGAGGCCAGCGCCGTGGCTCACTTGGCTAATCCTCCGCCTGCGGCACCAGCACCCGGGGTTCTAGTCCCGGTTGGGGTGCCAGATTCTGTCCCGGTTGTTCCTCTTCCAGTCCAGCTCTCTGCTGTGGCCCAGGAGGGCAGTGGAGGATGGCCCAAGTGCTTGTGCCCTGCACCCACCTGGGAGACCAGGAGGAAGCACCTGGCTCCTAGCTTCAGATCGGCACGCGCCAGCCGCAGTACGCTGGCTGTAGCGGCCATTTGGGGGGGTGAACCATCGGAAAAGGCAGACCTTTCTCTCTGTGTCTCTCTCTCTGTATAACTCTGCCTGTCAAAAAAAAAAAAAAAAATAGAGGCATGGTAATGCTACATATTTATGGGACACAGTGTGACCATTCGGAAAATGGACACAATGCAGGGTGAGAAAATCAAGGTCATTAGCCTTTCCCTCTCCTCAACCAAACATTTATCATCTCTGAGTTGGGAAGCTTCAGACTCCTCTCTTCTCGTTCTCTACAAAATGTACAACACACTGACGTGAGCTCCAGCCCCCGACGGAGCACGGAACACTGGGGCTTGTCCTGCAGCCCACCCTCCTATCCTAGCCCCCGACTCTCCTGCTGTCCATCCTCCCAGCACCCTTTCTAGCCCGTCGTGGCCACTGTTCCATTTTCTTCTGAGACCGATGTTTTCAGCTTCCACACGAGTGACAGGGGTGCCTGTCTGGGTCAGCTTCATGCCACTTCACAATGTTCCCGGTACCATGGTGCTACATGGTGTTTCATTTTCGGTGGCTGCACCATGTTCCTTGGTGCGGGCAGACCACATCTGCCGTGTCCACTCATCACCTGTTGATCGACACCTCAAGGACAGGCATTCCTGGATGCCGGTGTTACAGGCGACAGCTTTACCCGCATGCCACAACCCTGGCCCCTCATATGCATGGATTTCGGATTTTTTTTTTGGGTACCCAAATACATACTCTTTAGTTCCTTTTCCCATAATCTTTTGGAATTAGCCTCGTGTGGTCACCTGTGTTCTGGGACTCAGCCATCTTCCATCACCCCTGAGGGAGGTAGGGCGGGTTCTCTCACCTCACCCAGCAGACAGGTGAGAGGAAACGGCTTTCTGAAGTTTCAGAAACGAACCCCAACTCCCCTCACTCTATTCCAGGATTCTTACCAACTTTGCCGCGGAGGTGAACCCGTATCACAGGTCACAAAAACAGACGTCAACCTGCACGTGTGCCCTGGGCCCTAGAAATCACCTTTCTGGGTTTCCGGGAGGTCCCGGAAAGCGAGGATTTGGGGGGAGAATAACTCCAAACTCCTAGCTCGGTTCGCCTCCGTCGGGTTCCAGAGAGCCTGCAGGGATTGCGAGAAGCTTCCGGGGGCCAGCCACCTCTGGAGGACCCACCCGTAGCTGGGAGCCCCTGGCCAAGACTGGGACGCCCCCCGGGGGCAGGTGTCTGGGTCCGCAGCCCCGTCCCGGGGAGGGGGGGGGCACTCCTGTCCCGGCCCGGCTTTCCGCGTGGCCCTCGGCTGCGTACCGGTTGCGCTCTCCCCTCCCGGAGCCCAGGCGCCGGGGCGGACCCTGCTCTGCACGCGCGCCGGCGCGGCCCTGCTCCCGCCTCGCCGAGCCCCCGACCCAGGCGTCCTGCCCCCTGCTCCGACCCCGGCTGACCCCCACCCCGGGCGACCCCTCACGCACACAGCCTCACGCCCACCCCCACCGGCGCACGCACACATGCAGATAACAGCCCCGACCACCGGCCGCAGCCGCAGAGTCCCCGGGCCAACCCCGCCGGTGGCTGCGCCGCGTCCCCCGGACAGTGACCCCCTCCTTCGGGCCCGTGCAGCTGGTCCTGCCCGGCCGCGTCTCGGGATGAGGGCTCCCGCCGAGAGCGCCGGACGAGCCCCAGGTCGCTGAGGGTCCCGGCCAGGCGCGGAGATGGGGGCGCGCGGTGAGTGTCGCGGGCTGCGGGAGCTGCCGCCGGCCGGGCCCCTGTTTGAGTAGGGATTTGCCGCCCGGGCTGCTGGCCAAGAGGTGGCCGGGTTCAAGGACCTGCGACTTGCCCAGGACCCCGGAGAGTAGGGGGGTGGGGCAGCCTCCACGTGCCGGCCGGACTTGGGGAGTCCGCGTGGATAGGCACAAGGTTTAGGGGTTCGGGGTTGGGGGGGCGGACAGGCGCCGCTCTGTGGGTGGGGAAGAAGCTGAGACGCGGGTACCTGGGTCCTGGAGCCCACCACCGGGATCTGCGAGACGGGGCCGCCTCTGCACTCCGGGATTGAAGTTTGGCCGGAGAGAAGTGGATGCCGGTAGCTGGGGGTGGGGTGTGCGGCGCCGGCGGCGGCCGGATTGAATGAAGGCGAGGGAGGCAGCGCCTGGGCGCCCGCAAGGTCGGGGGCGGCCGGGACCGGCTGGGGGCCGGGGCGGGCCGCGCGCCCCCGCCGCGCCGAGCCCCCCGCCTCACCCGCGCTCGGCTGTCTTCCAGGACGCCTTGCCCTGCTGCCTCTCGCCCTGCTGTGCTTGCTCGTCCTCGCTCTGGGCCTCCCGGTCTTGGGCGCCCCGCCACGCCTCATCTGTGACAGCCGAGTCTTGGAGCGGTACATCCTGGAGGCCAAAGAGGCCGAGAATGTCACGGTGAGGCCCCCCTCCCCTCCGGGCGCTCCTGGGGCTCCCAGGGGTCCCACCAGGAACCTGGATCCTTGGGGCATTTGGTTCAGGGTGGGGGCAGGCAGTCAGTCCAATCCTCTCTCCCACCCCCCATAACAATGATGAAGTTGGCGGTGCCCAAAGCATACCTGGATAGTATGGGGCAGGGGCAGAGCCAGAGCACACACCACCCCCCACCCACCCCACCCCCGCCAGGGTGCCCTGACCCCTGCTGTGTGTTTCAGATGGGCTGTGCCGAAGGCTGCAGCCTGGGGGAGAACATCACCGTGCCGGACACCAAGGTCAACTTCCACCACTGGAAGAAGTCGGAGGTGAGCCCATCTTCCCCTTCCACCGGGGGACCCTCACTTGAGGGATGATGGAGAGACAGAGTGGCAGAGATGAGGGCTACATCACTCATTCATTCAACAGACCTTGTTGCACAGCCTCTGTTTGCTCTGCTTGGGTGGGGGAGCTGCTGAGGGGGAGGAGAGAGGGGGTGGCTTGGGTCAGCTGACTCCATGGCTACGCTCCCTGCAGGCTGGGCGGCATGCTGTAGAAGTCTGGCAGGGCCTGGCTCTGCTGTCGGAAGCCATGCTGCGTAGCCAGGCCCTGCTGGCCAACTCCTCCCAGCTGCCGGAGACCCTGCAGGTGCACGTGGACAAGGCTGTCAGTGGCCTGCGCAGCCTCACTTCCCTGCTCCGGGCACTGGGAGTCCAGGTGAGTCGGGTGCACTCTGTCTGCGCTTCCTGTAAGATGACAAGGGTATTGGGGCAGGGGGAGGCGTTGTAGCGCAGCAGGTCAAGTAAGCCTTTGCCTTGGATGCCGGCATCCCATATGGGCGCCGGCTCCAGTCCCTGCTGCTCCGCTTCTGATCCAGCTCCCTGCCGATGCACCTGGGAGGGCAGCAGAAGATGGCCCAAGTGCTTGGGCCCCTGCGCCCAATGTGGGAGACCTGGATGGAGTGCCAGTGGCCCAGCCTTGGCTGTTGTGGCCATCTGGGGAGTGAACCAGTGGGTGGAAGATTGCGTGTGTGTGTCCCTCTCTCTCTGTAACTCTGCCTTTCAAATAAAATAAATTAAAACAAAGATGTGAAGGACCCCGTTCTGTCCCCACGCCCGCTTCCCTGCTGGACTGCCATGACTCCCTGTTCTCTCCCCGGCAGAAGGAAGCCGTCTCCCCTCCAGAGGCCGCCTCCTCTGCAGCTCCTCTCCGCACAGTCGCTGCTGACACCTTGTGCAAGCTTTTCCGCATCTACTCCAATTTCCTCCGGGGGAAGCTGAAGCTGTACACGGGGGAGGCCTGCAGGAGAGGGGACAGGTGACCGGGTGCCTCCGCCCTGACCACCACGGCCTGTGCCTGCCTCCCCCCACCGCTCCCCACCCCCGCCACGGGGCTGTCACCGCAGCGCCCGCCAGTCTCACGGACACTGCAGTGCCAGCAGGTGACACCTCAGAGGCCAGAGGACTGAGATGGAAGGAGGACTCGGAGGTCAGCTTTCAACCCAAGGACAAGGCCATGCTGGGGAGGCACCTGAGCTCACTCGGTGCCTCGCAGAACTGCGGCTAGCTTTGGAGGCAAATACTTTTTCCTTTTGCACCCTGCACGCAAGGACAGGATGGACAGGAGATTCAAGTGATGAGCCGGCCGTCAATTCTCCAGGTCCCGTGGGGATTCCTGTGACAGCAAGCACCCACCGCTGGACAATGGGGGTAGGGGGAGCCATGAACATGGAATAGGGGCTGGTCCCTGGTTCTCATGGGGGTCCATGTTTGGTGTACGTTCTAATATCACCAGCAAGAACTGAAACCGCCCCCTGCTTCCTGGGCACGGCCCCTGTCCGGGCAGCTGGGCGTCAGGTCTGGGAAACCAGCGGTGGAGGGGGCTGGGCCCTACGTGCTGCCTCACACAGCCTGTCTGACCTCCTGACCCCACTGGGCCTGAGGCCACTAGCTCTGCCCACGTTGGTCAATAAGGTGGCCCCATTCAAGGCTGCGTCTCAGTAGGCAGCTGCCAGGAGCCCAGGACAAGCCGTGAGTGACCGTGTCTGCCATCAAGGAAGTGGGTAGCAGGACTCCTGGCATTCCCTTGGCATGCTGCAGCGCGCAAGTCCCTGTCCATGCAGCTGCCCTCTCTCCTTGCCCCGGGGACTGGCGGCACTGAGGCTCCACCCTGAGACTCGCAGAAGAGGCAGCAGACAGAGGTGCACCTTACTGCTCACCTGCTCTGGGACAAGTGCCGCTCCTGGTGTGTCCGCCTGCGACCTCATCGTGTCCCTGTGAGACAGCTCCTGCTGCCATTCCCATCACACGGATGAAGAAGTGACGCAGCGACAGGCCCTTTGGCACGGTGGTGAAGGTACCACGTGGGACGCTGGCATCTCATATCCGAGTGCTTGGGTTCGAATCCAGACTCCGCTTTCTGCTAATTCGCAGCCCGGGAGGCAGCAGGTGTGGCTCAAGGACTTGGGTCCCTGTCACCCAGATGGGAGACCCAGACTGAGTTCCTAGCTCCTGGCTTGGGCTTGGCCCAGCCCTGGCTATTGAGAGCAACTGGGGGGTGAACCGGCAAACAGGAGCTCCCTCTGTTTTTATTTTCTCTCAGTTCTTCTGCATTTCAAATAAATTTTTAAAAGAAATAAATTTGCCCAAGCTCAAGAAAACAGGGATCCTCAATCCCCCCTACACTCTCTTCCCTCATCTGCTTATTCCTGGCACTTAATTCCTGCCTGCTCCCTTACTGCTCTGGGACAAGGGACATGGAACGAATGAACGCAACCTCCACTCTTGGTTCCTGCCTCGAACTCAACCCTTTACTCTGACAATGACTGCAGATTCCTCCCCAGAAATAAGGCCTGCGCAGACAGCCAAAGATACCACAAAACTGGACCAGGTCCCCAGTCCTGGCCATCACTCCCTACGAGGGGACTTTTTAAAAAATTCATGGAAAATGGAATGAAAGGCTACGTTTAGGGGCAGGCGTTTGGCTTAGCTATTAAGATGCTGCTTGGGACCCTACCCCCACCCCATAGCAGAGCGCCTGGCTTTGGAGCTCTGGATCCACACCCAGTTCCAGATAATGTGCATTCGGGGCGGGGGGGCGGCAGGCGATGGCAGGGATGATGGAAACCTGCTCAGAGGGTGTGTGAGGAGCAAAATGAGTCACACCAGGGACCCTGGAGTAGGGACCCCAGGAAGGGAGCTGCCACCTGCTGCTTTGAGTTCTGGCTCTGTCCCAAGGCCAGCTTCCTACCAATGCAAATTCTGGGAAGCAACAGTGACTGACGGCTAAGTACTTGGGTGTACAGATTGCGTTCCCAGCTCTAGGCTTTGGCCTGGCCCAGCCCTGGTTGTTGTGGGCATTTGGGGAGTGAATCAGAGGATAGGCGAGCCCTCTCTCCCCCCACCTCTCTCTCTCTCCCTCTCAAATAAATGCTGCGCCGATCTGAAGCCAGGAGCCAGGTGCTTCCTCCTGGTCTCCCATGCAGGTGCAGGGCCCAAGCACTTGGGCCATCCTCCACTGCCTTCCCGGGCCACAGCAGAGAGCTTGACTGGAAGAGGAGCAACCAGGACAGAACCAGCGCCCCAACTGGGACTAGAACCGGGGGTACTGGCGCTGCAGGTGGAGGATTAGCCTAGTGAGCCGTGGCGCTGGCTGATGCAAAAACTTTTGAAATCCATGCATATGAAGGTATGGAAAATGCACGTTATGAAAAAACTATGCATAGATTTCAAAAACTGCACCAAAATAAACTTATCTGTTAATTCCGCTTTCTGTAAACTTTTTGAGGTTCCCTGGTATGTGGGAGCAGTGTCTCTGCTTAGGAGCATGTCAAAAAGTGGATAAGGCAGCCTGCCCCCTACGCGTGCACAGAAGATAGAGCGTTTTGCAATCTGTAGCACCCGGCATTTTCGGGGTTGAAGGGTATTTGCCGGTTGTCTGTGTGGGGAGGGGGTGGGGAGTAGAGGTGGAGCTGAGGTGGGAGGAGCCAGCAAGGGCGCGGAACCAAAAGAAAATTTTTATTCTTGCCAAGCCGACTCCTGGGCCACAGTGCCCTCTACAGGTCTTCTTGGGAACTGTTAGAGAAATAAGCGAATCCTTAGGGTTCTCACCTGGTACACTTCCATACAAACGTGTATTGTGGTTTCCACGTGGCACCTGACTTTTGCTCCTCCCCCTCACCTGCTGTGGGTCAGTAAGCAAGGCATCTCCCACTTAGGCTGATGAACCTGGAGCTCCTAGGCTTGTTCTGAACTTACAGCATTTAGCTAATAAACAGAGCTGAGACCTATACATGAGATTTAAGACTTATCACCCCTAAATCTTGCCCACCTCCCAGCCCGATTTGTTGCCTAGTGCTCAGACGTCCTCTCTTCTCCAGGATTCCAAGCCACTGACCTTATTCCTCTACTTCCCTCTGCACTTTTAGCTGCTCTTTGTTTTTATGGGCTAGTGGTTTTCACACCTGAGCTAGACCAGGTGTCATGGGCAAGTAGGTTAGGAACACGGGAGGCATAACTCAGTGACTCCATGTGTAGGGCGTTCCTACTAACTGCTAGGGAATGTGAAATGACACTCGGAGCCTGGTGTCCCTGAGAGCCGGCAGCCCCCCAGGGACAAAAGCACATTGATTTAGGCACAGGCAACTTGGTATGGGACTGGGTGCTACAATGCAGGCTGCCCAGAGTCCAGGCGGGTAAGGTCCGGTGAATCTCAGCGGATGCATCATGGGCTGTGATTTTTGCCATAACTTCATGGAGTAGGAGTGTGAGAGGTATCATCCCATTTCTCAGATGGGGAAACCAGGTTTGACCAGGTAAGTGACAGAGCCAGCTCTTCTTCTTATTTTTTCCTTAAGGATTTATTTATTTGAAAGTCAGAGTTGGGGGTAGGGTCTTCCATCCGCTGGTTCACTCCCCACATGGCCACAAAGGCCAGGCCGAAACCAGGAGCCAGAGCTTCATCTGGGTCTCCCATGTGTGTGCAGGGGTCCAAGCACTTGGATCATCTTCTGCCATTTTCCCCAGGACATTAGCAGAGAGCTGCATCGGAAGTGGAGCAGTGGGAACTTGAACCTGGCCCATATGGGCTGCCGGGGTTGCAGGCGATGGCTTTACCCACCCCAGACGGAGCCAGCTCTTCTGCCTTGGTGCTGGGGACAGGGGCCAGCACAGCACAGCTGTGAGTCAGCGGGCCGCGTCATTGTTCAGTGGTGCCCTTCCTCTTGCAGTGAGCTGGGCCAGTCACAAGGTGCCTTCCTGGGCATTCTTCCATTTTCCCTCCTAACTGCATGAGGAAGGCAGGGGAGACGGAGGAGCCCCATTTTCCAGAGGAAGAAACTAAGGCCTCATCCAGGTCAGGAACAGAAGCGGGTTCTTTGATGTTGGGATCACCAGGGAGAGGGGAGCGGCGGGGAGGGAGGAGGCAAAACAGCCACTCCATCCCCTCCCTCCAGTTCCAGCTGCTTCCATGGATGGGCAGAAGGCTCCTCCCACCCAGCTTGCCCCACGTCTCCCAGTACCAGGGCCCAGTGCCACTCTCCATCCTAACTCTAGCCCTCTGCCTGCGCTGCAGAATCAGACCGCCCACATGCACCTGCCTGGCCCCCGCTCACAACTCGCCTGAACTTTTACCAAAACATCTCCCTGCTGAGCCAGCTTTAAGGGGTGTGTTAGGGGCAAGTGCTGAGGTGCCGTGAGTTTAGATGCCGCTCGGGATCCTGCATCCCATATCAAAGTGTCTGGGATCCAGTTCCGCCGCTGCCTCTGACACAGCTGCTCAGCACCCTGGGAGGCAGCAGGTGATGGCTCAAGTGCTTGGGAGGCCCAGATGGAGTGCCTGGCTCCTGGCTTCAGCCTGGCCTAACCCTGGCTATTGCAGGCATTTGGGGAGTGAACCAGGAGATAGAAGATTCTCTCTCTCTCTTGCTCTGCCTTTCAAATAAATAGAGAAAAATAAACCTTAAAAAAATAAGATTTGTTAGTTGCTGGAATCTTTTTTAAAAAGATTTTATTTATTTATTTGAGAGAGTTACAGACAGTGAGAGGTAGAGACAGAGAGAGAGGTCTTCCAACTGCTGGTTCACTCTCTGGCTTCTGGCTGATCCGAAGCCAGGAGCCAGGAGCTTCTTCCGGGTCTCCCACGTGGTGCAGGGGCCCAAGGCCTTGAGCCATCTTCTGCTTTCCCAGGCCATAGCAGAGAGCTGGATTGTAAGAGGAGCAGCTGAGGCTAGAACTGGTGCCCCTATAGGATGCTGATGCCACAGGCAGAGGATTAACCTGTGCCACAGCACCAGGCCCAGTTGCTGGAATCTAACCCGAGTGT